CGGTATCCCTATTTTATAGATACTGGCGCATGTCCTTTCCTGACTTCGTCGCCTCTATGTTGTCATTCTGGGTTACTCTATTTGTTTCCACCGAAATGGGCATTGCGTTCGCGGTCGTATTTAGCATCGGGTACACCCTTGTTCGGTCAGCTTTCCCGAAAGTCAAGACATTCTCCCCGACGAGTGGTAAGAGCAACATGGTCCCGCGAACTATGACAGCACCAGCGTCAGCTTCCGATGACGCCTTTGTACCCGACGACGCTATGCTTATCAGCTTCACCGACTCCATCTTCTTCCCCAACGCAGGCCGTGTTAAGAAGTCCGTCATTGAGTCTGTCAAAGTTCAATTTGAACCGAGGATGACGGCTGAAAAACAAGAAAAAAAGTCATCCGATAGGTCATGGAGTGTTGCATCGGCCAAGCGCATTGAGATGCTGCGGAAGCGTAACAATGTGGTACCGTCGAACAAGCAGATGACGGTGATGGTGTGGGACCTCACGCATGTGCCCTTTGTTGATGTCACCGGAGTTCAAACATTGGCTGAGTTGAAAGAGGAGGTAAAACAATACGTGGGAAAACAAATGGCTTTGCGCATCGTTGGTATGAACAACAAGGCTCGTCGACGGTTCGCTCGGGCCGGGTGGAAGCTTGTTGAGGATCGTGAGGTCGATGACGAAGTGCTAGAGGATGTCGACGTTGTGTATGAAAGACTTGAGACCGCCTTGTGGGACAGGAATTACACAAGCGAGAGGGAGAAAGCGTCATTGGAAGAAAGAGAGTACTACAACCAGCGGGAATAGTGCTACTATTGCGGGGTCTAGCAGGAGCGGTCTGTGACCGCATATGAAGAGCAAGTCTCTTCACCTGCGGCATTTCCTTTTTCTGTGTCAGCTCTCATTGGTTTGGGTCTGTATCAATTTCATTGCAGGGTTTACGTTGGATATCACGAAGGCCCTGGAGGCTGTTGACCGTACTAGCGAAAGCATTCATGGGGCAATCAGTACGATAAAGAAAAACGTAAAACAGAGATATATTCGCGTTTCATCACGTTGACAGGAGTAGAATGTCATTAATGTCATCGTACCTTCTAGTCAACGTCTGATCATGTGCGCAAAGTTACTTGTCAGCCGCGTTGATCAATCGAATATTTTGTTTATTACCAATGATAACAATAGTAGTACAGTTCTATGTCATTATGATTCGTGGCAAGTTATACTTGTTGTAGTTGTGCGGCTTCTGCCTCATTACGCCGCATCATTCTCTTGCCCAGCCTCTCTTGAAGAGTTCTCACAGCAGTAGCCCTTGCCGTTCTTGGGGTCTCTGGTGAAGGCGGCCTTTGCTCCCGATCAGTTGGCAGTTGTTGCTGGTTTCTTCGGCCAAGTCTCTCCTGCAAAGTCTTCACTGCCGCTGCTCTCACAGTCCGAGGTGTGTTCGGGGTCCCTGGCGTACTTGGGGAAGAGGATGTCTCTTCTCCCACGGAGCGGCGTGTGACTGATAGAATCAATTGTTGCTGCTGTTGTTGCTGCTGATTCTTCATAGCTCGCAACCGTTTTGCCACCTTGGATTGCATTCTTGCAGCTGCTGAAGTTCGAGGTCGAGAGAAATTATGAACGTCGGATTTTCCCGATATGGCAGACCTAATTGTCATTGTTGGACTCGTTGGCCGGGTTTCTTGTGATATGGTGGAAATGTATCGGCTGGATGGGCGGTAAGTTTGCGACAGTGACCGGCTGTCCGTTCTGTACGTCTGACGCCGCTTGTCGCTCACGTCGGAAAGTCTCCGGCGTCGACGTCCTTCGTTTGGCAGTACGTCACTGTCAGGTCGAATACTATTCGTATTCGTTTTGTTCACTTCGTTCATGGTGCTCGCGATTACCAGAGAGGAGACAGTGGCGATCGGAGGAAGCGAGGGAGGCTCATCTCGTATTGTATACCCAGTTCGGGAGGTCATGGACGATCGCGCCGTTCTCGATGTGTGTGAACTCGAAGGTCGACTGTTCTGATGCATTCTCAGGTGGTAATTTGCCTCCCAATCTCCGTCTCTTGTCGAAGGTCTCCTTCCTAGCATCCTGTGCTCATCCTCCATTGTCATGAGAGGTGTGCGAGGCCTTTTGAAGGGAACATCCAAGAACCCACCGTCAAATGGAGGTGATTGCATACCAATCGCTGTCCATCGCCGCAAGTCGTATTTCTGCTGTTGTTCAAGCAGTGAGGCTTGACTGCGTGGAGAATAATGGGCTTGGCGGGGCATAGATGGAAGAACGATATCGTCAGATGGCGCAGAGGCGCTGGTAGAAATGTCCGACGCCGTATGATATAAACTGACTCGATCTCTCCATGCTCCGAGATCCTCGAACGTCACAGCTCCAGCGGCACGTGGAGTGCCCTCTCTAGTGGGTGGTTTCCATGCAAACGCGGTGTGCAAACCAGGCGAGTCTGGCAGCCGAGGTTCCGGGCTGTCGCCGAACACAGCATTCAGTGGAGTCGGCATGGACATACTCCTCGCATGGCGTCTGGGCAGTTTGGTTAGGCTCCCGCGTCAGAATGGCCGATCATGCTACTTACAGAGTTCGGTGTTGTTCTTGTTGTTGCTGCTGCTGTTGTCGTTGTAGCTGAACTTCGTAAGGATTCTTCTTCGTCAACGTCTTCCGTTTCCGCTTTTTAGGCTTTTCCTCCTTCTTTTCCTGGATAGTCGATAGCATCTTCCTGGCTTTGATCTGCTTCGCAGTTGGCGGCAATTTGACATCCTTCACCATAGATACGACTTCAACAAGCCCATAGTCAATGTCTTCCTCGTCTGGAGCAGTAAAAGGATGTTCTCCCCGAACGAACCAAGACTGTGAGAGACCTATCGTTGCGAACGGTCTTTCAGCCATCTCAATGACTGCAAGCATTGCAATCAATGACAGGCTGTCCATCTGTTAGCACAGATGTCCGATGTGAGTGGTTCGAGAATGGCCGTGGCGACTTACAGAGAAGCCACGCTGATTATGACATTCAGCCATGGTAGGTTTTCCTGAATTCCTTTCGACACATCTAATCCAATGTTTACCGCAACAATTATCGCAAGGGTGACTGCCGCAACCCAAACCGGAAGACCCAGTCGAGCGAGCAAGAACGCCAAGCCTGCAACGTACTTCTCATGTCTTTTTGGAGATCCGTTATTTTTGATGTAAGCAGTCCTGGCAGCGATGATGTGTGTGAGCACGTATGCAAGACTCATACAGGAGGCGACGAAGAAAACAGCTCGGCTCAAAGGATCCAGAACTTCAGTCGATTCGAAGTTCCGAAACAGCACCACTGCAGACAGAGCAATGCCAGCTCCAGAAGAAAGGAACAGAAGAATTACTGAAATCAGCGACAGGACGGGATAAATTCTCGCGGCCGTTTGCGGGGGAGGAGGGTTCGGCGACGATCTTGGCGACAGCACTGGAATCGTCGCAGCTTCATGATTCCGGCTCATTAGTAGACTGATCCCATTCAACCACGCCGAAGGCTTCTCGTCTCTCGAGGGTAATTCGATAGTAAAATTGTTCTATAGGCGGGATGCAGGCATTCGAGGTCGATCAATTACTTGGGGAGAGCGCGAAGTTAGGGCTGACCAGCAGGCATTGGAAAACGCGAGTCACCCGTCGTGCCAGCTTCGCCCAGTCTGCATCGGTCTTTGTATGGTTCCCCGAGTAATTCTTGCGTGTGGTTTGACAATGAAAGTGTCAAAGAGCGGACGAGAGGGGTTTTGTTCCCACACACTGAAATCTCTGGGCGGACATTCGCCTGGGCGTCTGGAGTGAGCATGACGTGTCCCCTCATTCGTACTCGAGGATCGCTGGCTCAATCCGATGTTGATGAGGTTCCATTCCCCGGCAATCTAGCCGGCGCATGGATGATGACTGAGTTTCTTTGTGTGGGATCAGTTCTCATCTGATGTCTGGACCGGCATGTGAAACCAATGCGGCGGAGAGAGGGGCCAAAACTCAGCTTCAGCAAATCGGCAGCGCATGGACAAAAGTTTGTTTCGGGTAGTCGGATCGAAATCTGTGACAGATGATTTGATAAAAAGGTGAGCGGCTCTATCACACGGACGTGTCCGCGTCTGTTGGTAGGGCCGTTGGTGAGACGAACTTCGTGTTCATAACACTGGCCATTCCTTGGCCTTGATCTCACTTGCAGTATGACTTCTGAGTTACAGCTTTGACATGCACTGCATTTTGACTCGTAATCACCGAGGAAACGGCGTGCGCTGTTGCGCTTCGGGTTTACGGAGCAGAAGTTGACGCTCGTCATGTGAGGCAAGAATTCAACCAGGGAATTACAAGTAAGCGCTGCGAAACAAACAATGGAAGCCACAGTGAAGAAGCATGAAAACTCTCTTTGAAAATTTTGGGAAGATTCGACCATCCATGACGCTGAGCTTGACGATCACCCTCCCCCTTTTCCACTTGGCAGACAACGTTTCACTGTGGATGGACCCTCTCTTACACAGTTCTCGTGTCAAGCACGTGTCAGACTGTGCCCGTTATTTGCCGAGGGCACTCATCCCATCGAAGCTCTTTGTGCGTGCCCGTCCCCGTGGTTTGGGGTAGGGCCAACCAAAGGGTCAGTGGCTCTTCTGGAAGTCGAATAAGTTCAGGCACCAGGGGCAGAAACTCCTGTACAAGACTAAGGTCTTACGCATTACCCCAGAATGACGCACGTTGCGATGTCTGCCATCGTTACCACCAAAGTTTGGTAACATGGGTACTGACATCGCCATGAGAAATCATTCTTTATTTATGCTGGTTTTCTTTGCTTCAACCAATTGAATGGCTTGGAATACTTAACTCGATGGGCAGCCGGGGTCACGATCACTAACTAAGCGAAACCAAACAATCATTATACGCAAAAGCATCTACATCAAAAATGGAAAAAAGACAAGAACAAAACAGAACAAAAAGAAAACAAAGGGGAAAACAGCCAGGTTTTGATCCTACCATACCAGCGGTTTGTGCCCCGAGGAGTTCTCACCACTGCACACCCCCAAGCTTTAGAGGTAACCGTAGCATCCGATGCCCTGATTCCGTGGGCTTCGGAAGGCGTCCAGCTCTGATGTTGGTCTGTAGTGATTGATGCAGCAGCTTTGGTTCCCCAAGGCTGGCATCACGCTTTTTCCGCTGAGCCACAAACTCCTCTTCGGTGATGCCATCCCTCAAATGTTTATTCTGTGCTCGGTGTTCCTGAACTGTCATCCAAGGCACGGGATCAACGCGACCCTCCGGTGGGTAGTCATGACCGGTCCAAATTTTGACGTCGTCAGGCAAACTTAGAAGCCTGCGGCCCGAATAATAAAGGCTTTTGGCGCTGCCACCTGGAAAGTCACACCGAGCGGTGCCAATGTCCACGTGGAATAGAGAATCGCCACAGAAAACGTTGTCTGAAAGTGAGATCAGCAAAACCCAAAGGGACGAGAGGCCGCCGAATGATCTTACCTCCAATCTTGTAGCCCAAATGGTCAGGCGTATGGCCGGGGAGATGTAGAGCAACGGCGTGAAGGTTACCAATGCTGAAAACTTCGTCGTCTTCAAACAACGTATCAAATGCCCCTTGACGTTCATCTTGAGGAACCCCGTATCTTTGACCGAAGAGTGATTGAACCTGACCGATTCGTCTTCCGATACCGACAGTAGGCTTATGCCCATGCTCTGACTCCAGGCGATGCTGGAGGTATGATGCGGCAGTGAGATGGTCAGCATGGGCATGAGTTTCAAGAATTCTGACAATTGTGTAGTCCTGGCGTTTGGCCAATGACAGGATTTGGTCTGCAGCGACTGTGGTTATGACCTGCGTTTCTCGATCATAGTCTAGGACTGGGTCGATCACAACAGCTTCTCGTGTCGAGGGATCAGCGACGACGTATTGCCATGTGCCGGTCTTGGTTTCGAATACGTCGTGAATCACTGGTTGTCCCTGGGCAAGGGTTTGGGCACTATGGCCCTTGTCACCGAAAGTCGATGACTGTTTGACGCCACCCTTAGGGATAGTAGACAGTGTCCTACGTATCTTCATACAACTCAACAACGCTCTATCGGAGGCGCCGGTGATTGGTGTGCGTGAAGAGTGAGAAGCGCATGATGCGTGGTATTCGAGTCGATGTCGCAGCACCCCAAGGCGTTCAACGGGTCGTATGGGGGATTGAGATGCCCGACCAGCAGTTGAGGAAGTGAAACGCACATTTGGTCGGAAAGCTTTCATGATGCGTTGGACAGATGAGCTGTGGAGGAGGATTTCTCGGGGCGGGTTCGTCATGAAAAATGTTACAGGTGGTAGATGGACGGTGACGCGAAAGTGGAACTTTTTAAGAAGTGAGTTGGATATCGGACGACGAGCTCCACAACGTTCCGCCGCTCCGCGTGCCGGTCGGGGATCTGCAGATTCATTCGGCGACCAGCTCGCCGACCAGCCGGATGACCGGAGTGGCTTCCGAAGCACAATATCACGTCACCGTCGGGGAGGTGAGGCAGTTCTCGCCGGCATGTGCGGCCGGCTGTCGGCAGTCGGGGCGGCAGCTCTACCGCGTCGTGCCATTGGCCAATTGCGACAGCAATAAATGGAGATCAGCCCACCTGCCACACCGTTATGTGATCGTCGGTGCGGCGTTTTCAATTTCTCCAGGCTACTGGACCCCGGTTTTTTTTCTACGCCGCTCAACACCATCGTCGTCGTCTTGCGCCATCTTTCCTACCGCTCCTTCCGCAATCTCATCGCAGACTCACCTCTTCCCTAGGCGCCAACTATGTTTTCGACGCGCGTGACATCCGCGGCTCGCCATGCCTGCCGCGCCGGTATGGCAGCCCGCAACGCCCCCGTGATGCGTGGGTTCGCGTCCAAGACTGCTGCAAGAGCTTCTCCCGAAAAGCCATCAGCTGAGAAGGCCTCAACCCTTCAGAAGCCGGCTGCCGCCGCAAAGGGTGCGGAGAAGGCCACCACCCCTTCGGCACCAACTCCTGGGCAAACGCCGGCCCCAGCTGCGTCCTCCGAGAAGACAGCTCCTGCCCCTGCTGAGAAGACGGCTGCTTCTCCCACCCAAGACAAGGCTGCGCCCGCCGCCGCCGCAGCTAGTCCCGAGAAGGCCTCCTCCGAGAAGCCCACTCCAGTGAAAGCTGCCCCCGTGGTTCCTCCTTCCCGCAGCCACAAGGTTGTCGTAGTTGGTGGCGGCAGTGCCGGTCTGGCCATTAGTCACCAACTCCTCAACACCGGAAAGTTCTCTCAGGATGACATCGCCGTTGTTGACCCTGCTACGTGGCATCACTACCAGCCCGGATGGACTCTTGTTGGCGGTGGCCTCAAGAACAAGGAGGACTTGAAGCGTCCTATGGAGAGCTTGGTTGATCCTAAGCTCAAGCTCTACCAGCAAAGCGTCAGCACGTTCAACCCGGAAGAGAACACCATTGACCTGGGCAATGGCGATAAGCTGGGATATGAGCAGCTTGTTGTGGCTCCTGGTATCAAGATTGATTATGGAAGCATCAAGGGTCTTCCTGAGGCCCTTGCCAACCCTAACTCGCTTGTCTCGACCATCTATGGCTATGAAACTTGCGACAAGGTATTCAACACTATTCAGAGACTTGAAAAGGGCAATGCCATCTTCACGCAGCCGGCCGGTGCTATTAAGTGCGCCGGTGCCCCGCAGAAGGTCATGTGGCTTGCTTTGGATTTCTGGAAGCGTGCCGGCCTATACGACCCCAGCAACACTGCATCGCCGATCAAAATCAGCTTTGCCACCGGTATCCCTGCCATGTTCGGTGTTCCAAAGTACAGCGCCAAGCTCGAAGAGTTGAGGAAGGAGAGAGGAGTCGAGGGCCTTTTCCAGCATGACCTGGTTGCCGTTGATGGCAACACTGCGGTATTTGCTCGGCCTGATGGAAACCAAATCACTAAGCCGTTTGACCTGTTGCACGTGGTGCCCAAGATGGGCCCTCATGCTTTCGTCAAGAACAGTCCTCTGGCCGATGCGGCTGGTTTCGTTGAAGTCGATCAAGCTACTACCCGCCACACCAAGTACCACAATGTCTGGTCGTCTGGCGATGCCTCCAGCTTGCCCACCTCCAAGACTGCGGCAGCGGTGACATCGCAGGCCCCCGTTCTGGTCAGCAACCTGTTACGGGCTATCGAGGGCAAGGAGCCCGAGCCCAAGTACGATGGTTACACTTCGTGCCCGCTCACTACTGAGTATGGTAAGGTCCTGCTGGCTGAGTTCAAATATGGTGGAGTGCCCAAGGAGACCTTCGGCGACTTGATTGGTTTTGATCAGGCAGTGCCTCGCCGTGCCTTCTACTATTTGAAGAAGGACTTCTTCCCATGGGTTTACTACAACAACATGGTTAAGGGTACCTGGGCCGGTCCCAATGGTTGGTTGAACTAGACGATCTACGGAGTGTGTATACTGTATAAAAAAGTACGCAGGTCGAGAATTCAGATATGGGAATTGTGAATGGACAACTATATTCCAAAGTCAAATGATGGGCTTGCTTCTCCTGTTTGTACCTTGCGGTAAAGGTATGCTTAGCCGCGTGACATGCCTAGCCGCGTGGAAATATGGATTTGCTACTGCAGGGCGACTACTGACGAAGAAACGCTCGTTTCGTTGCCATGGAAGAAACAGCACCGTCTCAGGGTACACATGAAGCCGCCAATCTCACCCACGCAGTGGACCTTGTCTTGTCGGAAGGAAAACAGTCAGCCCCTGCCTTGCCGGTGAGACCTTCAGTGGTTGGCCGTGGCATTGAAGGGCTGGATTGCTCAGGGTGTTTGGTCAGAAGAGTTTGAAACATTTTTTCCGTTGATTTTCCATCACTGAAAATGGGGTCATGCGTTGTGGAAATGATTGTCTCGAGAGAAAACAACCTGCATCCAGATATATGTGAATCACCGAATCTTGACTGCTTCTGTGCATGGTGCCGTTGATTAGGTAGGGTGAAGAATGAAGAACATGGTCATCAGGACAACGTGGGGAAGAGGCGTGTTCAAAGTGCCTCAAATAATGCGCACACAAAACATGGGGAGACAGAAAAGAGTCAGATGCTGATACAAAGACTTCAAAACGGCAATTAAATCCCAAAAAGTTGGGTTTGGGAAATGTGTGGCTTTCGCGTGGAAATGGGGCATGCATCGTTTACGCTAGTTGACATTCCAACACAAGACAGCACCAAACCATTCAGGCAGGGGCGAAGTACCAGTGAGGAATGGGAGCTGAACTTCCAGTCGACACCGCTGAGACAAGTGAACCATGCGCCGGTAAGATGTACCATAACGGGAGGGAACGGACGCTGTGTTAGTAAACATTTGCGTGGTTGCTCTCATCCGCCTGCGTCCAGACTGTTCCATCAAATTGAAGGATAATATAAGTATAACCCAGGTGGCCTGTGATTTGATGCAACATAAATGTGTTCAGCAATCGACAGCCATTCTTTACAATCAACACAATGCCGCTCCTTAACCCTCGTACACTCGTTACTGCCCTTTTGTTGGCACCATCATTCGCTTTCCCCGCATCTGAGTCGTCCCAGGTTCGACGAGACGATAAAAACGTCTGCAACAATGGCAATCTCGCCGCCGAAAACCCGCGTGCTGCCTTTTTCCGAAAGATCGTTGACAGCTCCGCTTACACCAACCACAGCAGAGTCCCCACCCCATCGGGTACACCGTTGAAGGTTGGAATCATCGGGGCGGGAGCTGCTGGATTGTATGCTGCTATTCTGTTGGACTCACTTGGTATCGAGTACGATATCCATGAAGTTTCAGATCGCATTGGCGGAAGGATTTACACGTACCGTTTTGACCAGGATACGTGGGCCAACTCTACGTCCGCCGATCCTGCATACTACGACTACTATGTGATCAATTATTCAGCAATCCCAGTTGGATACCTGACACTAACGAACAAATAGGACGTGGGAGCAATGAGGTTTCCTCCAATGCCCTACATGGACCGCGTCATCGGAAATAAGTCGTGGAGTCTTATTCCATACATCAATCAGCGTGTGGAGGAGCAACACCAAGTGGTCAAGAAGCCATACATTTTCAAGGCTGATAACACATTCAGGAGATTCAACGACATCACCGCACAACTTCAAGATCCGAACTCCGCGTCTCCCAGTCGGTACAACATTGACATCCCGGGAGACAATCAACCCTTTGAAGCGTCATCTGCATCCGACGTCTGGGCTAACCAAGTCAAGACTTTGACCGATGCACTTTCTGTAGACTTCACCAGCGGATTTGACTTGTTAATGCAGTATGACTCCATGACTGCACGAGAGTTTCTGCTGGACAGAAATTTCACCAACAGCGAGATCGACTGGCTGGAGACGGTGAACGACGCGACTGGTCATTATGACATGTACTCAATGTCACAAGCGGTTCTTGAGCAGTGGATCTTTTCCAGTGCAGACATCAACAACTGGTCTCTGATTAATGGGGGTATGGACATGTTGACGAAGGGAATGACTCTTGTCGCTAAGACCAAGCCTATTCTTAACAACAAGGTGACGGACATTAGGAAGAACTCGGACGGTACCTTGAAGGTTGTCGTGAACGGTAGTCAAGAGTTTGATTACGCCCATGTCATATCGACCGTCCCACTTGGCGCTCTGCAAATCATCAACACAACAGAGCTCGACCTGAGCTATTCTCAAAAGAGCGCCATTCGCACATTGCAGTATGTCATCCTTTCCATCAAAGTTTGCTCCACTATGGGATATCCCGCCGGCAGTTTTCAATAACCATTCTACAGGTACGACCCGTCTACTAAGATCGGCCTCAAGTTCAAGTCGAGATGGTAAGTGTTTTCATGTCTTAGGTATCCCCAGAACGTCTACTGACCTTCGTCAGGTGGGAGAAACTGTCCACTGGCCCATTCAAGGGAGGCCAATCTTTCACGGACCTTCCTATCCGCCGCTGTGTTTATCCGTCGTATGGGGTCGATGTTTCAGGCGTGGAAAATGTCGGGACAATGATCGCGTCGTACGTGTGGGGCCAAGACTCATCGCGCTTGGGCTCTTATCTCA